GGGGCTACAATGGTCTGGGAGGCTGAGCTGGACAGAGAATCAGGCCCCAAGCCTGCTCCAGAGAACTCAGCCTCCAAAGCTGCCCACCCCTCACGCACCAACATGGGAGTGGAATCTGGGTGAAATGGGTGGTGTAAGGACAGGGAGAGCCCTGCTGTCCAGACTCAGCAGCCTCCAACCCTTCTGGTGTTCGTGGGTCACTCTCGTTCCCCCCTTCCCTCCATCCCCAACCAAAACTAACCCCAAAAGCAAGGGGACCAGAAGGAGGAGAAATGAACAAACACTTGGGGAGTGGCCCCTGGGTGCCAGGCCCTGTGCCAGCACTTCACATCCTTTATCTCACTTAATCTTCTTAACAACCCTCAGACGGGGGTACTGTTATTACTCCCATGTTACAGATGAGGAAACAGGGTCAGAGTTCTTGTTGTCGTTTTTTCTACTTCCCTATATGCAAGCTGTTTACCAAGCCCTTCCTTTCTTCCTAAGAAATGTCCCACAAACTAACAACTTTACTTTCTGTTTCTACCACCGGCATGGTGTCCACATCCCCTCCTGCTTGAATCAATACCAACTGATTAACCAATTAACCGATCAATTACGCAGCCTCTCTTAGCCCCTCAGCCTACACTTTCTCCTTCTCCTGGCCCTTCATCCAGCTGCTAGATGATCCTTATACACAGCTGTTACCACCAGTCACCCTTGCCTGCTCCGTTGTCTGGTAACCACTGACTCTAGGCCTGAGCTTCTCAAACCTTAACATGCTCTTGAATCACTTGAGGGTCTTGTTAAAGTACAGATCCTTTGCTGGGTACCTTAATGCAACAGATCACTGAATCTCATAACGGCCTTAAATTAATAGCCTGTTTTACAGAAGAACAGGCGGAGACCCAGAGAGGTTACCCAACGTCTGGAATGGAGCCAGAGATCCTACATTTCCAGTAAGATCCCAGATGATGCAGAGGCTGCTGGTTCGTGGTGGTCCACACTTCTAGACTAAACTCTCCTGCTGAGTTATTTTTTTCTTTAATTTTTACTTTTATAATATATATATATATTTTTTGCGGTACGCGGGCCTCTCACTGCTGCGGCCCCTTCCGCTGCGGAGCACAGGCTCCGGACGCGCAGGCTCAGCGGCCATGGCTCACGGGTCCAGCCGCTCCGCGGCATGTGGGATCCCCCTGGACCGGGGCATGAACCCACGTCCCCTGCATCGGCAGGCGGACTCCCAACCACTGCGCCACCAGGGAAGCCCCTTTTCTTTAATTTTTAAACAGCAAATATATTTACCATGGTTTGAAAATTAGAAACTGTAAAAAGGTGTTCAGTGAAAATTCTCCCTCTCACTCCATTTGCCCAGTCCCCCCCAGTTCCCCCCAGTAACTACGTTTACTAGTTTCTTATGTATCTTTCCATAGTTTCTCTGTGCAAATACAAGCAAATATGATCACACTTATCCTGCCCCAAATGGTAACACACGCACACACACACACACACAAACACACACAGACACGGTTTTGTTAACAGTTTATCAGTTTATCTTGTAGATAACTGGACACAGTCGGCTGACTCATTCATTTTTAGAGTTGCATTATTATTCCATTGTGTGAATATGCCATAATTCATTTAACCAGTCATTGTTAGCTGGACAATCTGGGTTGCTTCCGATTTTACCAGCTGGCCTTTTTCAGCCCATCATACACTGGCCAACCTTGCTGTGACCCCCCTCCCCTCCCCCAATTCCCAGCTCCACTATCCTAAGTCCCTGCAAAAGTTTTTGCTCCTCTTACATGCCCCCCCCCCGCCCTGATCCTCCAGCCCACCCTGATTGCTCCTCCTTTTGTTAGTCTCCCCTCATCATTTGCCTCCCCACCCTTCATCTCTCCATGTGTCTCTCCCTGTCTCCCCAAATAGACTAAAGCAACTTGAACTCAGAAACCATGTCTTTGATTTCTCTGGATCGTTCACAGCCCAGAGCTGGGCACACAGCGGTTCTCAAGAATATTAATTATATGGTGGACGTTGTACATGAAAGGAGCCACTGGATGGTGGCTCTGCTGGGGGTGGTTCAGGGTGTAAGAGCCCAGGAGCAACCCAAGGTGGGAGGGGCCTCGTACCTCAGAGTCTCCTAGAAGGAAGCCCCTATCTCATGCCTGAGTGTCTTGAGCACTCCCCTCCTCTGAATTCCTGTTGTGTGTGTATTAGTGACAGCAGTCACTGTTCTGTACTTGGTCATCATGGTCCGCCACCTTGAATCATGTAAACCCAGCTTCCTGATGAGACCCTAAGATCCTCCATGGTAGAAATAAGACTTCTATAATTCTCTTCTATCCCCAGTTATCACAAACCCTGAGCACGGCACCAGGCAACTGGGACAGCCTCCACAAATACTCCTTGAATGAACAGGAGTGCCACAGGAGTGGGTGGGGTAGGACAAGGTTGACCACAGGCGTGTCACCAACCAAGAACATTTGGGAAACACGAGTGTTTTTGAAGATGCTCTGTCCCCCAATCTGTTCCTCAGTCCCTCCCCTCCTGGTGGGAAAACAATGACCTCACAGCCACAAGACTTGAGGGCCCTTCTCATCCTGTCCCTTGACACCGGGGGGACTTTTCAAAAATGTTACTGTCGTGAAAAACGAACAAAAGCAGGGGACTTCCCTAAATTAAGAGATTAAAGGAACATGACGAGCAAATGTAATCTGTGAACCTTGATTGGGCTGTGGACTGGAAAAAAATCAAAAACTAAAATGACATCTTGGGGGGATAATTGGGAAATTTTTAATGTGGAGTATATTTCAGATGTTAGTGTATCGATGTTAAATTTATCGAGTGTGATAACCATATTGAGGTCATTTAGAGAATGTCCTTATTCTTAGGCAGTGGATACTGAAGTAGTGGTGGGTGTGGTGAGATATGCCATGATATCCACACCTTTCAGCTGTCAGTAAAAAGAAAATGAAAAGTGTGTGTGGTGTGTGTGTGTGTGAGTACAGGTGGTCATTTTACTCGTCTTTCAGATGTTTCAGGATGAAAAGTTGAAGGGAAAATATCTGGTACAAAGAGCAGTGTCACCCCAACTGTCTGAGAGAAAGAGGAGGAGAAATGCAGCGGGGGTTCTGATTGGGTAGCTCAGGGGAAACACTCTATCTATCTGTGACTTGATCGCCCCCCACCCAGCCTTCCACCCCTGCTGCCCAGAAAGCATCCAAATCTAACCTCTTGGACTGACTCTCCCCTACTCTCTGCATCTTTCACACAGTCTCCCGGGTCCTCATTTGATGGGACCTCCCCTGGTGGACAGCCACCCCCAGCCTAGCTAGTATAGAACTTGAAGCAACTTAAAGGTTCACAGCTCATCTCCCTGGAGAATGAACTGAACCTCTGTGGGCTTGACCCACCTGGAGTTTTTAGAAATTACATCCACTTAGAGGATGAAAGGGACCCCTTGTACACCGTTGGTGGGAATGTAAACTGGTGCAGTCACTATGGAAAACAGTATGGAGGGTCCTCAAAAAAATAAAAATAGAACTACTATATGATCCAGCAATTCCACTCCTGGGTATATATCCGAAGAAAATGAAAATACTAATTCAAAAGATACATGCACCCCAATGTTCACAGCAGCATTATTTACAATAGCCAAGATATGGAGGCAAGCTAAGTGTCTATCAACAGATGAATGGATACAGAAGATATTTCATTTATATATATACATATAAATGTGTATATACACACACACACAATGGAATACTACTCAGCCATAAAAATAATGAAATCCTACCATCTGCAACAACATGGATGGGCCTAGAGGGTATTATTCTTATTAAAATAAGTCAGACAGAGAAAGCAAATACTGACTGCTAACACTTATTTGTGGAATCTAAAAAATAAACTGAATGAATATAACACAACAGAAACAGACTCACAGATATAGAGAACAAACTAGTGGAGGTGGGAGAAGGAAGGAAAGGACAAAATAGGAGTAGAGAATTAAGAGGCACAAACTACTATGTATAAAATAAAAAATCTACAAGGACATATTGTGCAGCACAGGGAATATAGCCAATATTTTATGATAACTTTAAATGGTATATAATCTATAAAAATATTAAATCACTATGTTGTACACCTGAAACTAATATAATGTTGTACTTCAACTATATTTCTAGTTAGATTTGGATGCTTTCTGGGCAGCAGGGGTGAAAGGCTGGGTGGGGGGCGATCAAGTCACAGGTAGAGTGTTTCCCCTGAGCTACCCAATCAGAACCCCGGCTGCATTTCTCCTCCTCTTTCTCCCAGACAGTTGGGGTGGCACTGCTCTTTGTACCAGATATTTTCCCTTCAACTTTTCATCCTGAAACATCTGAAAGACTAGTAAAATATATATTCACTTAGCTTCACAGAGAAAAGAAAATGAATTTGGTGTTTAAAAAAAAAGCCAAGATTTAGTCATCCTACATGCTCTTTGGAGCTCTGTCAATGAGGATAATTTCCGCCCTAGTCATCAGATCGGGACACTAGTTTTTTGCTTTTTTAGTTTTTTTATTTATTGCTTTTACCTTTTTTTCTTATGGGCATTTCCTTACAGGCATGGAAGATGTCTGGCCCACATTTCTGAGGGCCCCTAGAACCCTTCAGCGCGCGCGCTGTGTCCAGCCACTTCCCCAGTGCTGGGCGCAAGAGTCGTTTCCGAAGTTCCGGATCGACGTGGTCACGCACCTCCTGAAGCTGGGAACTGGCCTGCCCCCTCCCTTCCCCGGGGGACGAGGGGTGGAGGAGGGGGGCCGGGAGGCGACCTGGGGGAGGGGGCGGGTCGTCTCCGCGGCTGGGCGTGGGCTGGGCGAGGTCCCGGGCCCACCGGGCCCCGCCAACAATGGCCAGTTGTGGAAGGAGGCGGCAGGAATGCGGCCGGGGGAGTCGGGCGGCGGGCGGCGGCGGCGGCGGCGGCGGCGGCGGCGGCAGCCGCGGGGCGGGGCCGGGTCGCAGCCGCAGCCTCTTACCTGTCCAGGTAGCTCGCATTTTCCGGCGAGCGGCGGCGCCCGCAGCACCTGTCTCCCGGTGCGTGGGCGGGGAGGACGGCGCGGGGGCATGGCCTGGTAGAGGCTCCTGGGGAGACGGTGAGGAGTCCAGTCCGGAGCAGGGCAGGAGGCGGAGGGACGTTCCTCCCCGGCGCCTGCTCGGCCGGCGGCAGCATGAAAAAGAACCCGACGGTGCAGGGCACCTTCAGCAAACTCTTCGGCAAGAAGCACGCCAACCCTCCCGCCACCTCCCTCTACGCCACCAACCCCCCCTGGATTTTCACCCAGGAGGCCCCGTCGGAGGGGACCCGGGACTTCGGTGAGTGTGCCCGGGAGCCGGAGGGCGCAGGGCTGCCGGGCGGTCCCCCCACCCCGGGGGCGACCTCCCTCCCGGGACTCCGGGCGATACGCGGCCTCCAGGGCGGGAGACGCGGCAGCGCAGAGGGGAAGGAACGCGTTTGAACCTGTGTGCTGGCCGGTCAGGAGCCTCCGGCGAGAGAGGTGTCTCTGGGAAAGGGAAGGAGGGGCCCCTTGCCACAGCGAGGTCGGAGACCTTTGCGGGGGTCCCCGCATCTGATCTTAGTCCCTCTTCTGAGGTGTTTATTTTCCCTCCTCTGTGGAAGTGATATTTGCGTTATTGTTGCCAGAAAGGCTTCCCGCGGTTTGCAGTGCCCTCCCTCACCCTTCCCCCAGCAGTACTGTTGAGTACAAAGGGTTCCCCTGGATCTGAGGACTTGAGGGTGGTCCTTTCAACCCCCCACTCTTTCCGCTTCCGCCGTCCCCCCACCCCCATTTCCCAGCCCCGCTTCGCCTGGCCCGGGGTCACAGGCAGAGAGGGAGCTGCTATCTGCGTGCCCACACACTTGGCTCTGCCCTGGGGAGGCCCAGGAAAAATCCACAGGAGTCACTGCTAGCAGGATACCAGCCTGTGCCAGACACCAAGTCACTTACTGGGGTCGCAGGCTCTTGTCAGGTCAGAGGGAGAAGCTCCAGACCCGACAGGGGAGGCTGAGGAAGCCCCTCCTGACTGCCAGCCGCCCCTGGCCCCTGCGTCAGGGTGGCGTGTCTGCAGGCATCTGAAAACACCATGCCCACCCTGCCTTTAAAGGGGTTCTGCCTGTGGGTCACCTTATCACTGCATCTTTCTGCAGTTTGTACCCTATATAACTGAGGGGGAATCCAGGGGGTGGGGACAGGAATTCACTTCTTGTGTATGATCTGAGCTTCTGGGCCCAAGGAGGGTCACCCATCACTGCTTTACCTCATCTGCCTTCATTGTCACCCCATTACCTTCACTGACCTTTATGGCCACTGTGTGGGGACCCACAGAGGATGTCACAGCCTCAGCCCCTGCTATTGGATTCACTTCAGCACCCAAGTTGTCACAGTTGGGACACAAGGCACCCTGACAGGAGCAGGGCAAACAAGACGTTGCCTCTCTCTGGCCCAAGGATCTCAGACCAGCTGGTGAACAGAGCTGACCGAATGCTGTTTAGCCCTTTCTGAGTCTTTGCTATAAAAGAGTAAGTGCAAAAGGAACAGAGAGAGATGACCTCTGATTGGAACTAGCATGTGAGCTGAGAGGGAAGGGCACCCAGCACTGCGAGAGCAAACAGCAGGAGCAAAGCCTACAAGGGCCAGGGTGGCTTGGAGGCAGGGTTTAGGACCTTAACAAACACACATGTCCTGCCAAGTACAACTCTGTGAGGCCTAACCGCCTCTCCTCGCCTGGGTCCCAAACGTTTGTCGACCCCTTCTTAGGTGCAACGTACCGTTCTAAAGTCCTTGTGTTGTTGACTTGTTGAATCCTAGCCTGTGATCCTGTTTGACAGGTGAGGCAGCCAAGGCACAGCGAGGTTAAGTAACACACCCAAGATCACACAGCTTTAAATGACGGAGCCAGGGTTTTCTCAAGTGTGCAGTTCACTGATTTTTTTTAGTAGACTTATCAAGTTGCGTAACCGTCAGTGCAATTCCGTTTTGGGACATTTCCATTACCCCACAGTTTCCCTCATGATGCACAGCCAATATTTGAACCCAGGCAGTGGGGCTCCAGAGACCACACTCTTAGCCGGCTTGCAGAGTGGACTCTGTGGAAGGTAATCAAGGGGGAATTTGACTGGAGGGGCATCTGCTTGAGAACACCTCCCCCCCCATCCCCCCACTCCTTCCCCAAGGGGAATGCCTTACACACTTCTGTACATTTTTGCCTTACATACTTCTCTGCATTTTTGCCTGCACTGAACAGACTGCAGGTGGGGTTCAGCCCCTCCAGTAGAGAAATGCAGGTATGGTGCCCTGTCGCCTCTAGCCAACTGCTGCCTCCACCAGCAGGGCTGGAGCCCAGGGAGGCACCTCCTCCCGTTCCCCAGGGCAGGGCTAAGTCTCCATCTGACTCAGCCTGGTTGCACCACATGGAGGGGTGGGAAGCACTGTGCACCCAGCAGGATGGCTCTCCAGTGTTTCTGGGGTGTTCCTCAGGGTGCCAGTGGGTGTAGCAGAGGTCTTCCTGCTGAACAGGACATGTGCTCGGAGTTGGGGAGGGGAAGGACCAGTGTTGGGGATTCTGGGATGTGATGAAGATCCCAGACCTGTTTTGGAGTCCACCTCTGTCAATAAGTGGGGGCCTAGCCACGCTCTGGGCCAGTTTTTTTCTTCTGTTAAATGGGGCTGGTGTCCAGACTGCTTACAGAATGACTGCTTGAGGTTGCTATATGACAGTGCTTTGAAGAGCATTAAAAGGAAAAACACTAAAACAAGGATTGGCAAATTATGGCCCATGGCCTGTTTTTGTAAATAAAGTTTTATTAGAACACAGTCAGCCGTGCCCATCATTTGCATATCATCTGTGGTTGCTTTCATGCTACTAAGGGCAGAGTTGAGTCACAGCAGCAGAGACAGTATGGCTCACAAAGCCAAAAATATTTCCTAGCTGGCCCTTTACAGAAAAAATCTGTCGACTCCTGCATGATTTATTATTATCAGGGCATTTCCAACTCTGAGCACTTCCTGCTTCAGTTCCTGTAGCTGAGGCATGTAGAGGCCATGATAAGAGCTCAAAGGGGTTGGGATTAGTTTCATAGGGTCCCTGAGTCTGTGAAATTCTCTGAGATGCTGGCGGTATCCAGCCCTTGGAGAATAGCTGGTAGGATGGAGGGGGAAGAATCAGTGTGGGAGTGTGTAAGGGAATTAAGGAGTAACCACTTGCTCTGTGGCTACAGTCATGTAAAAATCTGTTTGCACAAGGGTAGGCTGGGTGCAGCAGGTAAAATGCAAACAGTCATGTGAAGGTGGTGACAGGTAAATTTTTCTTTACAGGATTTCCCTAACATTTATCCAGTAACTATTAGAAGGGCTTCACTTAATGCGATTGCAATCCTAATTAAGCCTCCTGTGAGCCCACCCAAGGGTCTTAAAAGGCTGCACAATTGCTTTTAAAGTACGTGAGAAAGCAGAGATGTGGATCTTTACAAAGCTCAGGATAAGGGACTTGCTGCAGCCTGAGACAAGGCTGCTAGTCGCTCAGGACTCCTCCCTTGCCTCTTGGGTTAGTTGAGCCAAGCTTCTTTATCTACCACCACCCCACCCCACCAACAGGACGCCCTGATCGCTGGGGGCCCGCCTTTCTTGTTCCTCCAAAATGTAAATCACCTTCCTCCCAACCACCTAGAACACTTAGTTAAAATGCAGATCCAGGGGGCCCACCTGGGGTACATGAAGTCAGAATCACTGGCTAGAACACTTATTTAAAATGCAGATCCAGGGGGCCCACCTGGGGTACATGAAGTCAGAATCACTGGACTAGGACCCAGATTCTGGACTTTTCACCAGCTCCTGGGTGATTCTTTTATATGGGAATATTTGAGAATCCTGGGGTTTCCTTCCCCAGATGGAGCTGGGCCATTCTCTTTCCCCTGAGGACTTTTTGCAGTTCTAAATAAATGTATAGGCACTGTCCCAGCTCCTTATCCAGGAGAACCCCAGTGCTCCCTAAGGTGGCTACTCGTTCTGGGGTCCCCTGCCCTGGTGTCTCAGGCCAGGCTAACAGGTAGGAAGCCATGAACCCCAGGGGCTGAGCACATATTTCTGGCCAGGGACAGGCTGGCACCAGCCTACCGAAAGGAAAGCTGACCTGTGCATGGCAGGGGTGTGGAGATTTTTGTTTACTCCCGTCCCCTGGAGGTGTGCTGTGGTTTGCTTGCAGCTCAGCTCAGCAAACACACACACACACACACACACTCACACACACACACACACACACACACACACCCCTCTACTGTCCCATTATATAAGCTCCTCTTGTTCCTGACACACACACACACACACACACACACCCCTCTACTGTCCCATTATATAAGCTCCTCTTGTTCCACACACATACACACACACACACACACACACACACACACACACACACACACACACA